AATTTTACTCTCTTAAATTAATTTCGAAATTTTTATTTATGGGATATTTGCATATGTATGAATTTACAAAACATAATTTTTTATGAAAAAATACATATAATTATTTTTTACTCAAATAATTATATATTTAAGGCAAACAGAAATAATCTCCGAATTTGTTGAACAACATTAAATTGATACTTTCCAAGTAACCTTGCATATTTGCACATATTAGTATATCTGATGAAACATTCGTATCTCTTACATAATAATTTCGTTTATCATAATTTCTATTATTTATATGTTCTTTATCCATATATGACATACTATATAAACTGCATTTAAAATCACTAAAATTCCTATAAATTCAAAAGATCACTATGATCTCGACAACTTTTTATTAATCTCGTCCTAATCTTTATTAACAAAATCACTCGGCTTACAACAAAATTATGTTTTTTTCTCCAATATTAATCTTCTAACATTCGTGGAATGTTAATTGTCCATTTGACGCTTACTTAATTAAATAATCAGTGTTCGCATACAAAAATAAATATCTATTGTGAATGTAAATTGGAATATAACAAATGTATATACATACACAAGCTGTTGCAAGATTCAGTCGATGCGAATAAAAAAAAAACACACACAGAAAGCTTTGTTATCATATAAAAATTAGGAAGACGAAAATTTTATTAAAATAAAAATATGGTGATGTATTTTATTAGACCTATTTTAGACTTATCTATTTTTTTTCTTTAATTAGCGTTCCTTGTTGCAGAAAGGAATATAACCATTTGTGAGTATTATCGAGTTCGCAAAGTCCAGTAAAAATATCGTTAAGAAAGAAACGAGTCATTATTTGAATGTAATGTAAAATCGTAAAATCGCAAAATCACGAATTTACAAGGTCAATGACCGTGTCAAAATAATTAAAAGATCGTAGGTCGTCGTTTTTCTCTTTTCTGCGGTCGCAAAACGGCTCACACGCTTTTCTCTATTCAGTCTTAACAGCACCTCCCTCAGCTCTCATTCGGTATATATCTGAGATTTCAATTTGTATAATGTTACTAATATTCGGGCGCAAACTAACAATATAGTGAAAGAAAGTAGTTGAAATATCTTTCTATATATTTTCAGTTGTGAAACACGATACTTTGCGGAAGAATAAATTAAGATCGTCAGAAAGCAGAAAAAAAGAGAGAAACGAGAAAAAGAAAAATAAGGAATCGAGAATATCGAAAAATTAACTTCAAAGAATTCTTTAGTAAACGCGATTTAGCGAAGTATTCAGGCTTTTTTTCTCTTCATTTGACAAAATGCTTATAATGGACACTTACCTGAATTTTCAAGACTAATCGATATATCTATAGAAAATACATGTATTTTCGGGAACTCCATTGTTCTTCATTGGCCGTACGTAATGGAGTCGTTAATGGGTTAAACAAATACAGGGTGTTTCTCAATTCCTTTGACAAACTTCTGGAGTGAATTCTTCACAATGCAATAAACAAATTTCAACATTTTTTTGTTTGCTGCAACGTGAACAATTCACTGCGGAAGCTCGCCGAAGGGATGTAGAAGTACCCTGTGCGTCTATGCTATGCCATTAATGAGTTAAATAAGAATACCACGCGAATAAATGAAGATATCAATCATGAACATTCGGTGAATCAATGAGATGAATTGCGGTACACATTAGAGCATGTAAAATGGCGTAATAGCTGTCGCGATTATCAAACAGATGATACCGTAAACGGTCAACGGTGGTGGTCAGTGGCGTAGTTACTATTAATAAAGAAAACTGACTGAGAAGCAATTGTTGCAATTTAAAGTGAGAATAATGAAACAGGAATTCGAATGCAAGACGCGCACAAATTGGCGTTTGAAATTTCTCAAAAACAAAACAAGATCGAAAAAGAAAGAGAGAAAGAAAAGAAACGGAGGTACAATGGCAGACAAATTCTGAAGAAGCGAAAGAATTCCTTAGCAAAAAAGAAAAGGTTAAAAGTTCGAAGGTACCATGAATATCTAGGAAGGAGACGGGTCTCTAGGACCTTCCCGCGTTTCTATATCGATAGTTACGCCACTGTATAAATGAATGTACACAGAAAAACTACGGATTACAGTTTCCAAGTGCGACACGCCACCCAGAGGGGTATATCGTTAGTTTGCGTCAACTGTCAAACTGATAACAGCACCACCACCACCAGCACCACCATCGGCACCACCACCAGAGCACCACACCACCAGCACTACCGGGGTCAGACTAGACCACACACGCTGAAAGCACACCCATAACGCGTCAACCAATGTCGGATGAGGCATGCTGCTCCTGCTGCTGTTGTTGTTGGCCGTTGAGCAGGTTACGACTGTAAATGGCAGCCCGGTAACTGTACCTATTGGCGTTGGGTCGCTCAGGGACCGGCGGTGGCACCAGGCTGCCGCCAATTCCGCCGCCGCCTCCCATTTCCGTTGCCGTAACGTTCACCAGAGGCCCACCTAAGCCTCCACTCTCGTCTACCTCGCCAATGCTGCTCTCCGCCAGCGAGGAAGGCTCCACCTCGCTGAACGCCAGCCGAGAACGCAGGAGATAAGCGTACGTCTTGTATCGTTTCAACTGGAAAACCCGTGTATATTGCTATCGTATTTAAAACTTGCGTATAGAACGAGAAAAGAATATACTAGTTTAGAATAAAACGAAAGGTACAAATTTTAGTTTAAAAAAAAATACGACCTCTGGTACCACAATCCTATCCATTTTCTTGAAGAAGATTCTTATTTTTTTTTTTTTTTTTTTTAATAAGGTGGAGATTTCTTCCTTTTGTTCTAAACTTCAAACGTTACGGTGAAGTCTCGTAGACACCCAGGGCGTTTTAGTTTTTCTGAAATTACCAAGGAATCGTGATAACTATTAAGAATCACCTCGTGATGAAGATACGCGTCCTTTTCCTTATAATTCTGTACAGTGAGAGCTTTGGCACTCCTCTCCGGCGGATGCCTCCTGTGTTCGTCCAACTCCGCCTCCAACCTGTTGACCCTGTCCTCGTGGTCCCGCAACTGCTCTCTCTAACGACAAATTAATTGAACCCTCTCTCTCTACCGTACGCATTCGTAAGAAGCAAGCTCGCGTAAAGTACATCGGTCATTAAGAGAAATTCAACATTAAGCTAAAATAACGAAGATGCCTTAATATTCGTCGGGCAAAGAAATCAATATTAAGGAAAACATATATATCGGAGAGAAATATAAAAAATCAAGGGGTATCACGTCAAGGAGACAACGTTAAGATTCTAACTCCAACTACTTGGATCATCTAAGGGTCCTAAGCCGTCTATTCTAAAACTCAGCTAAGCTGTCCAACTTTAGTATCTCTGAAAATGTCTGGATGGCACACACTCACGGAATCCAGTTTAGTGTGGCTGCAAGGCAACAACGGGCGTTGGAATTTGCGCTGCGAGCCCACGGCACCGGCCAGAGGCTGACACGAGAAGCTCGCGCACACAAAGTTGATAGTGTCAATCCACGATTGTAACTCCTTCGAGTCACTGTATAAAATCACATCGATGAGGTACAAGTGCGACGAGACATCTCGTATGTATGGAATATATGGAAAACAAACAGAGCAACGATACTGAATTTCTTCAACTGAATCGACAACTTGAATTGATAACTGAAAACGGTGACAACGAATTACACAGACCTGGTCTGGAAGAGGTACTCGGCCTGGTCGGCGGTTTGCAGGCGGAAGACGTGCTGCTTCTTCGTGTAGTCAGACGCCTTGGTAGCGAGCGCGTGATGGATGCGTATCGCGTTGTGCAGGCTATCGTTGCGGAAACCGTGCTCATCCTTGTGCAGATACAGCACCAGTTCGCGCAGCGTGCAGTAATACATCTTCCATCCGCGCTTGCCGAACGGAGCTGCAACGAATTTCTCATATAGATATTCGCAACTTTACTTCGTTGATCATTCTTAATTAATTGAACACATGGCTGATAAACAGAAATTCAACACGCTAAATGCTGTCACTGATGACCAACACTGTGATATTGCCGCATCTTAAATTATGTAAAAAAAGCAATTAATTACATCTACAAAATAGGCTGACCAGCCGATAAAGAGCCGATAAAACGAGGTGAGAGATAAATGTATCCCGAATAATATTTATTTGTTATATCTTCAGAGTGATTTAATCATCAGTTAGACGTTTGTACGATCAATGGAAGTCAGTGCGTCGATCAACATTGTTAATGGCCTAATTTACCCCAGTTACATCATTTAATACGCGCACCAAATAATCGGTGTAAACAAGGCTAATTACGACGCAGGAAACAGATATATCGACAATAATATTGACCGCATACTGTAAAACTCTACGTACTCTTTTTGCCGTTGGAGTCGTAGCAGCACTTTCGCATAACGTAACCCTTCTTGAACTCCGTGGCGCCTGTGACATTTGGCACGTCGAGAAATGGATTTCCGGTGCCGGCGATCGCCGGCCCGTCGCCCTGCTGGATCACCTGAGTCGTCGTTTCATCCCCCTCTTCGTCCCTGAAAGTCGATGAACGTAAAATTAATTTCAAAAAATATTCCAATCAAGAAGCGAGACGACACTTTGGTTTCATTTTTCTATTTTTCAGAAAAGCTTGTTTTGTGAAATATTCTCAAAATGCATTGGGAGTCTCACTCACAGGGCCCACTCGAGAGGAAAGGACTTGATGGCGTTGTAGAGCTGTTTGAGCACCTCCCGTGGAAAATTGTCGCCGTCGTTGAGCTCCGACAGGTTCTCGATGAACTCCGAGCACGACATCTTCCTGCCGATGTTCTGGCCGTGCAGATCCGTATTGAGCAACATTATCGCGCAAGTCAACGTGTGAACGGCATCTGAAAACATATCGTATCAATGTTTACCAATGAATCGCACTTTTTCTATCTCAAAATTCTTTATCTGTATTACGAGCAAATTTAGCTCGATTCGATTTCCGCTTTAACAATCAACAAATAGCCGTGAAATTAACACGATTAACAATTAGCATCTTTCTTCTTAACCTACCTCCTCGTGATTTCGTCACGTTAATTTTACGGTTATTTATTGATCGTCGAAGTAAAAGGAACGTTTCACAAATACGCTCGATCGATCACAAGTATTACTTTATAGGCGTATCCGATACTTTTACATATTCCGCAGGAATGTTTGGGCATATGTTTTCTCACTTCTGACGTAATTAATCAAGATGGCTGCAGCGAGAAAGAACAGCCTCAAATATGATAAACCAGTAGGCCGACAGCAATGGTGATAACTCACCCTGAGAATTGAAAGTGCCGGGATTGCAGTCTAAAAACCTCTTGGAGAAATGTACCAAGACCCGCTCCCTCTCCTGAGTCTCTCCCGTGAGGGAGAACTGGGCGAGGAATTTCCTAAGAGCCACATCCAGGGTATCGCACTCGAAGTTGAAGTAACGCAGGTATTCCTCGGCCACGGCTCTGCTGAAGTCGTTGCTGCGATTCAAGTATTTTTATCATTGACTCTCCCGTTGATAAGATCAGAAGGAGAAGGGGAGACTCACTTTTTGCTGAGATGCCTGGAGACGTCGGACTTCTTGAAACCGTCCAGAGAGTAGAGACGCTTGGCCAACCGTACGGCCGATGGCAGGTCCACCGCCTTTGGACTGTAGTGGAAGCTGTGCAGGCTCTCGATGTCGCTCTCCTCGTCGGCCGACTGCGGCGGCGACACCCCGCCACCCCCGTGCCCTACTTTCTGCTCGTCGTACAACACCGTCGAGGCGTCTTTGTCGTCCTCGCATTCCTTCAGCTCCTTCAAGTTCAACCGACGCGTCGGAGATGAATTAATCGGAGATAAATCAGATAGATCGGTAAATGAAAGAATAAATTCCAAGGACCGATCCGATGAGTCGAGCTCGGTTTGATAAATCTGCCGCGAGAAAATTAATATATTTGACTTGATTAACGTCCAATAAGAGGGTCAGGATCAGTTCCACGCGATTTTCACGAAACTTCAATAACACATTTTCACGATTTATAATTAATCTCCCTAATAAAATATTCCGACAATATCAGTTGAGTTTAATTAAAGCCCGATAAAATGCTGGTAACACCGATAGAATTCAATCAACGCCTCAACATTACCTGATAGCCAACGTGTTCCGGTGCCACTGACCCCGTCGTGACCCCCGTCACCGCGGCAGTTTGCGTCCTCGGCAGATTCTGCACGGCAGCAGGAGGAGGCGTGAGTTCAGCATTTCCAGGATTGCCTCGTCTCCTCGCTTGTCTGGGACTCGTGTTTCTCGGCGCGGCGGCGGCTTCTTTGTCGGGACCCTTGACTTGTATCACGATTCTGTGATCGCTGCCGCTGTCTTGGGGGTTGCTGCTCTTCAGCCTCCTTTGGGGTGGTTCGCTCGCCAAGATAGTGGAGTCGCTGTCGCTGGGGTCGCTCACCATCATGATATCCCTCGCGCTGAGGATATCCATGGTCTCTTCGTCGTTATAGTCCGGACTTGACATGTTGCTGATGGCCTCCGACTGGCTGAGATCACCGTTCGCCGGTAGAAGCCCGCCCGGGGTGCCAGAGACCCCGGAGACTCCAGGAATCGTCTGTGCCGGCGGGAACCTGCGCGAGCCAGAGTTGGAGGACATGACGGAGGAAGAGACGGAGGTGGGGGAGGCAGGGGACAGCGAACGCTGAGGACTGGTTGATGAAGAGGATGAAGAGGAAGAAGAAGAGGAGGAGGAAGAGCCGCCGTTTTGGCAGCAGGAGGCGGCGGGCGAGCTGACGGGCGCGTTATACGTCCAGACGATCCTCTCGTTAGGCATAAGACCGATTTCCGGTCGCGGGTCCAACAGGGTATTTAGGCTGCTGGTGACGTCGTCGTCGATGTCGATATCCACGGCGCTCATAGAGGGGTCTTTTTGGAACTGCAAGTGATCCTCCGACCGCGAGGTTCGAACGAAACCGAAGCTCGAGGGGGTATTCTTGTTGCTGGAGTCGATCTGGTGCGAGCCTGGGGCACCCTGCGCCCCGTCGCGTCTACCGGTGCCCACGGGCGACGTGCTAGCCGAGCTAGAGGACTTGTAAGTAGCGCGTTGGTGATAGTGGTGATGTTGGTGATGATGATGGTGCGCCAACGTGTTGTCGTTGGGGCTGCTGGGCACCGAGTTGTGGTGCTGGTGGTGATGATGATGGTGGTGGTGGTGATTGTGGTGGGTGGTGGTGGTGGTGACGGTGTAAGAGTGGTGGTTGGGATTGTACCTAAGGGAGTCGATCTTCTTCTGATGCTGTTGCTGCTGCTGCTGCTTCGGTAGCAGGTTGCTGCTCTGCTGAGTGCGAGAGAGGTTGAGCATCAGATCGCCGGTCATCATGTACGCCTCGAACCTAAGGATGATAGAGAGACGATTGTTAAAAGGGGCACGAATAATCCGACGATGAGAAATCACAGAAGAGAAGCTCGTTCAGTTATAGTAATATCGAACCATTAGGACACAATTGTAAATTTTCTTCTGAAGTTCTAAAAGCGCCATGGATAGTTTTTTAGACTGTGAGATATCATATTTAAGACTATCGTAAGGGTGAAGAAAATCGAAATTTCTTTTTTCACATATTTTTAAAGTATGACGTCTTGAGAATGTTTTTATGAAGCTATAATTCCAGCAGGGATTATGTTTTAATTTTATAAAGCTTTTGTCTCATTTAGTTGTCAAATAAGTCTTGTGAGAGCAGCAACGGTCATGGCAAACGTCGTTTTTAAAAGCATGTTTTACGTGATATTTCATAGCCATTTGCATTATTTTTTAATAAAGTTTAATTTTTCAAACAGAGAAAATGAGAGAATATGATCTTTGAAATGAAACAAACGCGACTTCAATATCTTTTGTCGTTTCTCCGCAAAAAAATTCGTAAAGTTAGGCCTGTCGTCGAGGTACACGCCCCTTCTGGAAAGCTCATCCTTGGATGCATTGTAGGCGATGAAACAATCAATACAATGTCTGAAAGAACCGATTATGAATACCTACGATACTACGATCTTAGGGAACTTTATTTTACTTCTTCTTCCTTTACCATTTCTTGTTTATCATTTTATGTTTACGTCACGTTACTTTCTCATTTCCGTTACGTCACTTTTACTCATTTTCCTCTCGTTTTCTTCAAGATCTCCCTTCGACACCCTTCAAATACCAGTGTTCGATTTATACCTAGGTGTGTTCTTCTGCCGGGTGAATTTTTCGCCACTCGTGCCGAGAGGCTCCCATTGAGATCTTTCCTCTTCTTTGAAGTGGTCTACGGCGGCCGGCAGGAGCGCCTCCAATTCCGACGAGACGGAGGCGTCGCTGCACGAGCCGTTGCTCCTCGTCGCTGCTGTCATCGTTACCGGCGTCGGCGAGCCTGCGGAGGGCACCTCCGCCAACTCCTTATCCTCTTTGCTTACCGGAGGAGGATTCTCTTTGGAAGACTCCGTAGTGGATTCCTCCTCGTTGGTGGGTTGTCCAGGCGACAGCAGGCGACGGACGTGCGCCTTCACTGCAGGATCTGCAAGAATTCGCTTTATTAGCTTTTGATCCTTCTCTCTGCACACAGTGAAACGATTTTTTAAAACAGTCCACTGATATTTCTGTGTTACTTCAACAAGATGAATATATTAATTTAACATATATTCTCGTACTTTTTAACATATTTCCCATTATTAAGCCAACACAAAAATTTCACTGGACCGTTTTTAACGCAAAACGTTCACCGTGTAGCTGATTGAGAAACTCGGGAAGCAAACTTACAACAAAACGTAATAATATAACGACATTTTACGTGATAAATTTTAAACTTGTTATATATAAAATAAATAATAAATAAATCAGCAGAGCGCTCTTATGTAATACAAATTAATAAATAATGGAAGCTCATTATAATAATAAGAACGTTCTGTTAGGTAAAGTACGAGAGGCACAGGAAGAGCCCGTGTAAAAGCCCTGAAAGTTCTTTGATTGATCGAGCGAAGGGTCGTCTGGCGAACGGAAAACCACTCGCGTCGTCTGAGAGTGCGCCCATGCGAATAATCGCATGTCCTTAGTCACCGGTCACCCTCTTCCTGCTGCGTAACCACCGCAGAGCTCTCTTTGTTTCTCGCGCATTAGCCCCGCCGGTGTTATTATAGCGTTAATTCTATTATTACCGCGCCGATTCCAGGTTCAAGTACGGCGCGCCGTCTCCCGACGCCTGGCGATCTATCATTGGATCGCGCTTTCTCTCTCCCTCTTTTTCTCTCTCTCTCTCTCTCTCTCTCGATCGCGAGAGTTCAGTCACCACAGTGGCCTCGAGAGACGGCGTATTTTAACCAATGATACATCTCGTTAATCAAGTAACAATGTAGCGCTATTCTAAATTCGGGATTAATGCGGCCGATCCGGACGGATTGAAATTAATCAATCGGCAACATGTATCGTTAATTACTTCATGCTGAATAATGCTCACCTCTTCGCAGCTTCAGAGTGACAGGGTCCGAAGAGAGCCGCAGGCATTTTAGTACTGAAACACAGCAATGAAATAAATCAGTTTTAAATTAGTTAGAAATTAACACACACATACATACACACACGCACACACACGCGCGCGCGCGCAGAGTAATTGTAATAATGTTATATTGCCAACGCGCCAGCTGGAAATTTGCGTTTGCAAAGCTAAATTACGAATTAATAAATTTATGTCTACACACGCGAAATGCCCAGGTTTCATTTAAAAAATTCGAATGCAAATTGACTCAATTGTTGAATTTATAATGAAACTATAGGTGAGCGAATTATTTTTACTCTGCGAATTCGGCATTTAAAATGCAGAACCAAATTATACGTTTGATTGAATTTGGAAATGTTAAACTTGGCATTAAATTAATTAACCACATATATGTGTGATTTATGAACATATATATATGTGTATATATATATATATATTACGAATTCTATTCTCCGAGGTGTTGTCAAGTTCGATTTCAATGGCCATGTCGAATTTCGAGATCCTGATTAAATCATTGTGCAGTGAAATGATATCAGAATGAGTCACGCCAAAATGACACTTGATTTGTGCCAGATAACGAAGTACAGATATGAAAAAAAAGGTCGATTAATCGAAACAAGTGCCAAGGAACATCTGAAGTATATTTACCGAGTATCTAAAGAATACCGAGATGAAAAAACTGGACCCAGAATTCATAATTAAGATTACTTGTCTGGAATTTAACGGCGAATTAAGGAGAAATTAAAGCCATTAAGAACGAAATTCTGAAAATGGAAAATCTTTTTGAAAAGTGGCTAATTTGGAAATTTTGTTTATTTCTTGCGAGTGTAAAATTAAACGTAGGATGAACGTTACTTGCCTTCCTTCGTACTAAATCGGTTGACATCGACTTCGTTCACCCTGAGTATCACGTCGCCAGCCTCGACCTGAAGAAAACCACGCTGTTACAACTATTCTTACATAATATATTTAGCTTTGTTCCTTCTTCCTGCCTCTCTCTTCCTCTCTCTCGCACCCGTCTATTCCAGAACGCGTTGTAAATCAATCTGGCCATCTATATCTATTCTAGGAACCTGTGAAATCCTAATTTTACATCGTAATCCGTAACTCACCGAGAAGAATCTCAAAGGTAATGCGGTACACATCGAGATACAGATGCAGAAATAAAACATTATCGATATTCTCGTAAAATGCAAAGTACCGAAAATAATTATACGTATCTTTATATGGAACATATTGTCAAATTTGAAAGTTCAGCGTGATTAATATGTTCGAATAAAATGATGCAATATTTACGCTCGACGCGTTAACGTCCTTACAAGCGTGTCCGATCGAACTAGTGAAAGTCCGAAATCGAGGCGAAGTCCTGTTACGAAATCACGTCATTGGAGGCGAGAAAAGTTCAACGTGCGCGCCGGCGAAAGGATTGCAGTTTACCCGCACCAGTTTTCCGCACGACGGGCCGAGCGCAAAATTGGCTCGATTCGAGGGAGAATGTATCGTTATGGAGGTTATGTTACAACCACCGCTGTTACAAACGGCACAATTGGACAGATAAGGGAAAAAAATAAGTAAAAACTTCAACGAAAGAAAGGGAAAGCGAAAGAAGGGAAAGAGAAGAGAAAGAAGAAGAGAAATAAAAGCGAAACCAGTGCTCCTATTCTGTAACTTTTAATATAGGCATAACGCATACGTTGCAAATTTTTGCGCAAACAAAATGTATCAAAATATCTACACAACGATACGTTAACGATAATGAAATTTTCATTAGAAGTTACAGAATAAGGTAGAAAGAAAATATACGTGTGCACAGGAATTCAACAATTATCTGAACAAAAAAAATTATATTTACCACCATATAACCCATCATGTACATAAGCTGAGTTCCGATATTCACTGGCAATACTGAAAATCTATAACATATGTAACATGAACTACATGAACTACACTGTATATGGATTTTCAGTACTGGCAGTGAATATCGGAACGCAGCCACACAGTCAATGGCAGAAGTTCGCAACATTTTCTTCAATGAGTTTTCGCAATGCGTCTCTGTCCAATGGGAGGATTTCTTTCTAGTAATATTCAGAGAAGTTTCCCCCTATTGGATATCGAATGCACTCTGACGTTGCATCAGGGTGAAAGTGTCGTTCTGCCTTTCTGCCACTTACTGCACGGTCAGTCACAAAAAAGTTACGACACTTTCTTTATAAGTTTCAAAACGCACCCCGTATCGAATGGGAGAATTTGTTTTTTTAGTCATTCTCAAGAGAGACTAATTTTTCTATTGATCACGAGATGCGTTGCGAAATTCGTAGAAAAAAAAGTTTCAACTTTTTTATAACTGACCATACCCCAGACAGTCCAGGTTTTTCATTTTCTGCTTAACTTGCGATTTAGGCTTAATGATGATGACATGAAAATTATTGTTCTATTCATGGTTAATCATTAAGTTTTTAAAGTTACCTTTACAAAACCATCGGTTGCATGATTAACTATGAATAGAAAAACACGATTTTTGTACTATCACTAGTTTAAGTCTCAACCACAAGTTAATCGGAAAATGAAAAACCGGGCTGTAGACAGAAATGTTAGGCATAATATGCAAACATTTAATGTATTCTTTGTGATACCATTGCAACGGCACAATATGTTTAAAATATACTTGTTTTAAGGAACATTCATTTATTACGCCATAATTTCAATCAAAATATTGACTTCTTATTGCTACAATAATTCCGGATTAATTGCGTTCTCTTTCAGGCAAAATGAGCAACAATGTTTATAACATCAGAATATCGCAGCAATATCGCCGCAATTTTCACCGCATCGGATGATCTTTTATATATTGATAAAATGCTTATTGTATAAGATGATGACTGTTTGGAGTGATGAAATAACAAAATAGAAGACTCAACCCCCTCGGTGACGCGATATAATAATACGAACTAATCGCCAAGTGCTCCCTCCCACTCTTTCTCTTAATAATACCGAGCCAGTCTCTCTCTCTTTTCGTCCGTTACATAATTATTTCGTCGGAATCGCAAAAGGGAGCGGTCATCACCTGGCGGAGGGGAATATATTCGATATAATCGAATCTGCCGCTCCCGGGGGACCGTTCCTTCGACAGGAGGTCGAAGGGTCGCAGGCAGCACGATAAACAAGACGCCAATTTCGGCATCGGAAGTAGCCTCCACGTAATCGTGTCGACGATATTCCTACAGATAGTGTTTTACGTTAAGCGATGCAGAAATATAACGCGCAATTGCGAAAATACATCGGAGCGAGATTGAAGTGCGACGATAGCGGCGACGATAACAACGCACTATTCGCACGTCACGTACGTTCGAATTCAATTACGTCACTCAATTACGTCGCCACTTGCAGCAGTTATCGCGAATTCACGTATCATTTATATTAGTTGTATTCTCTCTTCTTCATACGGGATGTACTGTCGACGAACAAAGATAACCGAAACCAGTGCGATTTCCGATTAACTTCGTCTCTCGATGATGTCACAGGTGAGCGAAGGGAAAGGAAACTTGTGCCGATTCACGTCCTTCGCTTATATACAATTAATCGAACGTATGGAGGCCGTGTTATCACGGGTATTTACATGTATCGAAATTGCCGAAATATTATTCCCACGGTTCTCAAGGCGCACTGGTATAAAAGGGTCTACGGTGAAGAAGCGCAACTTCGAATACGGGAAATGTTCTCGCACGAAAAAAGGATCATACGCGAATGACGGAAGACGACTGATCTCGCTTCCTTATCCCGTGACGACCGCGATGACGAATCTCAGTCGGAAAACACACAAGTCGGCCAACGGCCAATTGTATTTTTGGGTTCTCTATTGACATTGACTTTCCTCCCAGTTTCGGGCTGTTCTCCAAAACGAGTCGTTACATTACGCGTGCGATTCTGCGGTAAGAATACGTTTCTAATGAGAAAAAAAAGATATGCCGCGAAACTTAATTTTCTCCCTTGTTACGACGCTTTGATAGTTCTATTACCTAGATGTGAATATTTTAATTCGAAAGAAAGAGTATCGGATTTTTAAAAGCTAAAGCATGGATTTTTTAACGTTATTAAAGATTAGTATTATCAATATATCTGTGGGAAAATATAATTTCTTTGGTTAAAGCGAGCAAGAGTCAATTTGTACACAGGGTGTCTGTCACTAATTGAGACATAACATATATTTGTAATTTAGGTCAATGTAAACAAAAAAGTCCTGTATCATTTTGCAAAACACCCAACATTTTAAATTATTAATTATTGAAAATGTCCCATGACCATCAATATACTGAACATTGGACCTCGAATCTTAAACCTATCGCTATGTGCAACAATCGCCATATATTTGTAGATTAGACCATTCTGAATAAAACAAGTCTTTACCATTTTGCGAGTAACTATGTAAATGTTTGAAATATTAATTAAAGAAGTCTCTAACATAGTATACATTTTCACTAATTAATTAATCTAACTTAATTGACCTGAACCACAAGTATGATGGATGTCCCACTTAGTCTAGGATGTCTCCCTAGCGACAGACATCCTGTGTAATATTTTAATTAAATCAGCAGCGATCGGAATGCAAAAGAGAATTCCAGTCTCTTCCATACATCTATCTTTACCTTGGACGGGTAATAATCAGATTGAATTCGTATGAGAAACAAGACACGCTGTATGCGCACGCGAACAAACGCGAATCGCCCTCAGTCATCTCGATAATTCATGGACAACGTGCGGAGGATGTCGGGAGATCCGCAGATTCTTCCTCCGAAGGCCGAGACGATCGAATTTGCCGACAAGGAGAGGAAATACCGCGACTCGGGGACGCGGCGAAGGGATGACGACAAAGTCAAATTCCGCTGCGACGGCCAGTCGACCCAGGGCGAGGTGATGCTGGCGAGGGGTTGGACGCAGGTAATATAATTCCGTTCAAGGGGACGGTTTCAGGAAGGATCGCTCGATGAGCTGTCCGCTCAAATCACACGGCTCGCGCAGCTGATTATTTCTGCGCGCGTGAAATTAAACGTGAAAGCGGTCGCGGCGCAATAAAATCAGAACTGCTGAAAATCAACTCCGACCGTCCCCCCAACACCTTCGTGTGTGAACCCTCACTCTCCCCCTTCTTTATCCCTCGAGATAGCCGACCCCACGGACAGCAGTTGGCACCTGTGGTGGTGCGAGACGGCCGAGGCGCGACGCACGCTCGAGGAGCGGCGATTACTGCCGCAGCAACGTGTGCCGCACTTCCGCAACCACTACGAGCTCACGTGCAAACACCGACTAGGACGGAACCTCAAGCGCTACCGCCGAGCCCTCGCCGCGGCTGGCAAGGCCGCCGAGGCCCGTATCTGCGAGTCCGCACCCGTGACCTTCGAACTGCCCGCCGACTACCGGATCTTCGTCGAGGAGTATCACAGGTACACGATAAAAAATGTTTTGTCACGAACGGCCCACTGAAAGTTTTGTGTTACTTTAACAAGTATGTTAAAAAGCACGCATATATGTTATGTTAAATAAACATCATATTCACCTTGTCAATGTAATACAAACATTTCAGTTTGTGTTTTCAACACAAAATATTTTACTGTGTACATTTATGTGCTTATAACAATTAACGTATACATTTCTATGTCGATTAATGTCATTGTTATTTGCACACCACTGATATCATTGATATATTAAACATCATTGCTATTAATTTTGTAACTAATGTAAAGTACATCGATGGGTCAGATGTATTGTAAATAATTGGATAATTATGCGTGTATATTGTTCGCTTTCTGACTACTGTATTTGACTCGTATTTTCACCGTTTTTCACACGTTAAATATATGTTTTACTCATTCGTTCGTCAGTGTTTGTTGAATAATATCGTGATATTAATAGTAACGCGGGCGTCCCCCTAATCACAGGCAACAAGGTGCCACGTGGATAGTCAAGCCGGTAGCGCAGTCGCGTGGTAAGGGTATCTTCCTCTTCAGGAAACTGAAGGATTTGATCGAGTGGAAATCGAAGTCACAGCATCAGGGGACCCCGGCCGAGGTTTACGTCGTTCAGAGATACATAGACAATCCTTATCTCGTGGCAGGTACATGCCGAAATTTTTATTCGATTTTGAACGTCTTACTCGATTTCTAATTTAAAAAAAATCAATATTTTAATTTTGGTTTTAATATATGTTAAGAATATCGTGACTTTTTTACATACTTTATCGTAATAACTTATTATATTATATAAACACAAGTTTTTTCTATAATATCGCATGAAATTTTATACGTAACACATATACGTTCATTATTCAATATTAAAATTCAATATTAAATTGATCATTTTTCTGAAATTTCATTGAATACATTACAAATCACGAGTTCGTGATTACTTTTTTTTTTGCCTATTCCCCGAATGTCACGTCGTATCTCGGATTTCACTCTCCACTCCTGATTTCAGGGCGAAAATTCGATTTGCGTATTTACGTACTGGTGACGTCGTTTCACCCTCTGAAAGTGTGGCTGGCCAGGGAGGGCTTCGCTCGGCTGTGCGGCCGACCGTTCGATCTGAAAAACATCGAGGATTGCAGGGTGCACTTGACGAACACGGCGATACAACTGAAGGCCGTTCAGAATGCCGAGAATTCCCCTTTGATTGGAGGGGAGGAGATAAAATGGGATTGCAAGTGGGCTCTGAGCAAGCTCAAGGAGTATCTGATAACTTATCACGAGGCACAAATGGTGGAAAACCTAATGCAGTGCATCGCAGGTAGTTGAAAGTTATATTATGTGCGTTCAGATGCGTAATATTATAGGATTTATATTATTTACATATCTCAGTTATTATGTTATTTATTTATAAATATTTAATTTATAAAATTATTAATATTTATATTTATATATTTACATTTATCATTCATTGCTGTTGTTGAGGGACTAGATATTTATATATTTTTATTTATTAACATTATTCATTATGTAAGAATTAAAAATTACGAAATATTCGTTTTATACATATATGCTGCAATAATATTTTATACATAATCATGATATTATCAATTATTTATTATAAACTTTATAAGATCCTTTATCTCAATATCTGGAAATATTAAATACAAAAAATTAAATACTACGAGAAATAATTAATTTAACTTAATTCAATCAAGCCAAAGTGCACACCAAGGAGTATGTTTGAATGAAGGTTAAATGAATTTGCAACGCGCACGATACTTCTGGTATTTCTCCGCGGCGCAGAAGTGCACATTAGAATTCTCCTCGCGCCGAAAAAAACAACATCGAAGGGAAGGTCGAAGCTCTCGCTCTCGCGCAAACTCATTGCACAATTGCAGGCATCATAATGGCGAGCCTGCTGGCGGTGCAGCCGGTCATGATGCAAGATCGGAACTGCTTCGAGCTGTACGGCTACGATGTGTTGCTCAGTGATGACCTGCGACCTTGGCTGCTGGAAGTCAACGCCAGCCCGGCCTTAACGGGTACCGATAAGGAAGACTATCGGTTAAAATTCGACTTGATCGATGACGTACTCAACGTCCTCGACTTCGAGGTATGGCGATAGGAGAATTATACATACACCGGAAAAACAATATCTAGTTGTATTTAACCAGAAAGAAGGAACAGCCTGATGCATTTTGGTTGAAGGAAATCGAATTTCTGGTTACAAGAATCACATTTGAGTCATAAGAGCCAGAAATTCTGTCTCCTTCAATCAGAATCTGGTTTGTTCCCTTTCTGGTTAATGCAACCAAACCTTTTTCTTCCCGTGTATATAAGTACAAACTTCGTTCCCCCTCCAATATTCCTTTCTATATCTCAAACGCGTGTACAATGCAACGTGCAATTATAATTCCGCTCGAAGGGTCGCTTCAGCGGCCGCGAGACCAGAATCGGCGGGCTGGATTTGCTGTGGGACGATGGACCAGTTTGGACCACCTGCCCATACCCCGGGCCTCACCACGAGGCGATTCCCAACGACTTCAAGAGGCTGAATATCTTCCTCGGGACGATCAACGATCGGCAGGCTCAGTTGTCGTTGCTGCGCGATCAGCTGAGCGAGCGGCGCAAAGCCGCGCGAAGTTACTCCGCCGTGGTGCGATATTGTTTAAAATAATAATAACGAGCACGCGAGTGTAAACGTCACCGAAATACACGGAGCGTCCGCTGCGAGATAAGATAGCGGTTTTGGAATGCTTCCTACTGCCGTCGGGATTCGGGGGAAGAGAGACACTCTCTCTCTCTTTCTCTCTCTCGCCTCTCATTCTTTCCCTTCGCCGAGATCGACCGATATCGAATCAACGATTTCTGTCATATCCGGACGGAGTTTAGTGGCCGCGAGGACCGGAGGCTGGTCAATGCGGTGTGTGCACGAGTCGCCCGGCTAAATTTAGTTTCGAGAGGAAACTGGAAAGAAGGAAGAAAAAACACACGAGGGCGACGACGAAGAGCGCGACAACGAGATGAGCGACGTAAAAGCGAGAGTGCACCGGCTGCATTCTTTCGCACGGCCGGCACACTTTTGCGGTTAATTCTTCAATGAACGAGACGCCGCGGACGAATTGCCCGGGTCCGACTTTCAATGAAGCCTTGGCATTTGCCCGGGTTTGTTAACATTTATCAAAATTCACCGATCTCCCTAAACGTTCTCGCCGTGCACGGATATATCGGGTTGATGCGAAAAAGTTTGTGCCGTTTTTGAATCAAAATGGATATGTGACATTTACTTATTTTAAAATACGCAGCCAATCCCAATTAAATATGCGCGTGTTCGGTGAACTGCGCGGCAAGAGATAATTTATCGGCACAGCAAATTTTATGCTGTTATAACAATCGCCGAATTATCTTGCTGAATGTACAAATGATTTTGCTAAAGTAAGAACGAATCAGTGAACGTAGGAGATTACATTATTTTGTTCTAAATCTTAAATTCTAAGATTCTAAGATTTACGCAGGTGAACCAATTGAAAAACGGAAAGAACTTTTGAGTAAAACCAAAAAATATGTTGAGATATGATTTACGATGTGATACGTTAAGCTGTCAAATTTCATGTGTAATCAACAGTTATCCCTTTAAGGCTCCGGAGTAGTCGCTTTTTGACTGTCCTTATTTAACGTCAGAAGGGAAAAAACACACGCCACGTGCGCCAAGATTGTTTATGCTACACTTTCAAGTAAAAAGATATATTCATAAAATGACATTTGTGGTCGATTCGGTGCACTTATAAAATTGGACGAACACTTTTCTTTCGCTCAATCGAACAATCAGCAAATAATCGCGAAATTAATTTGACATGGAACTTTTTTTTCCAACCTCTTTTCTCATGATTTCGTCAATGTTAATTTTACAACCACTTATTGATTGTTCAAGTAAAAGAAAAGTGTTCGTCCAGTTTTACAAGTTTGCTGAATCGATCGCAAATGTCATTTTATGAATATATCTTTTTATTTAAAAATATAACGCAAAAAATGCTGGCATTGGTGTTTTCTCGCTTTTGACATTATTGAACAAGAATAGTCACAGCGACTATCTCGCAGCCTTAAAGGCCTATCCAGACAAACTAACACAGCACATAATGCATATGCAGAAGGAAATTGACCAATTATGAGATCTAATATAGAAGACATCCTCTTTCTGCATGGATCATGGTTGGTTGGTTTCCTTATGCATATGTAAGATGCGATTATGCAAGTTTGTCTGGATAGGCCTTAAAGACTCAAGACATTTTTCACTTGGAAACTGTAATATGATACAAGATAATGTGTTCAGTATCAAACTGTCAAATTCCAAGTGTAATCAACAGTTAAATCCCTTTAACACCCATGACATTTTTTTACTTGGAAACTTGGTATAAGTGTTATTTTCCTTTCGAAATCACTTCTTGACACCTTTAGGAAAAATCATAAATATGAGCTTGTATGTGGGTTCCAAAAACCTACCATCACGGTTGTGATGGCCGGGCAAATAGTGCGAGTCACTTATAGATACAATGTCTGACTCACACGATTATGAGACGGTTGGGACTTAAGAGATTTCAAGATATACGCATACCCAGACATGATGCAAATGATTACAAAGATTAATGACTAATTCCCGTCTCTACCATCATGGTTTAAATATAATCGACGATTAACTGAAAGGAATTGACCAACAGCACTGGCTAACTGGCCGAACCGATCAAAATGCGAGCAAAATTGGTCCGTCGAGTCAAATCGTCGATTAAATTTAAACCATGACCGTAGAAACGGACATGAATCTACCAAACGTTGAGGCTTGATCGAAGTGTAGCACACGCGGACAAACGGACGTGCGCGAAGTCGGTCCCGTATTTCCCACGATCGAGGGGCGAAACCGTCGGAGAAATTATCGATGAAAACCTCGAAGTTCCCCCTTGCGAATCGGATCCTGCCGCGTTCATTGTTCCCGCGATACGTCGCAAGCGTTTAGGATGTGTTTAAGAGCTGATCGATTCCCGTGCGCGCGTACCACATCAAGAGAGAGAGAGAGAGAGAGAGAGGGAGGGAGAGAGGATGCTTTCTGAAGCTGAAGAGAGCTTCGAGAACAGCATCGTCACCTTCTCTCCAAGTGCACTTCTTCCCTCCTTTTCCTCTTTCGCTCCGGTTACTACTCACGAGTGCACAAATCGCTCGAAAGACGGCCGTAATCAATACTCGATGCATCTTGAGGATGCACGGGAAAAGGAAATACTCGAGAATAGGCCGCGGGGAGGCCGATATATATCCGGATAAAACTTGCATGATACGGCGCGCGTACAATGTACGAGAGAAAGGGAGGAGGGAAAGAAAGAGAGAGCGACATGAGTGCATGAAACCGTCACGACGAAGGAAAAGAATCGTACCGGTGACGTTTAATCGCGTTACAGAGACGTGCCGTATTACGCGTATGGATCTTTCATTATACACACACGTCGATTTCATACCATGCGTACAACGCTCGTATCTTCGTTTCAACCGATGATTGTTCATTCCCTCTCCGCGCACAATTTTACCTTAAATATCATAATGTCAAAAATCTTTTCCGGGTTCGCACTTTTTCAAGATCTTGAGAGAGACAGAGAGAGAAGGGAAAAATCATGAAAAGATGCAAAGAGTATTCGAAAGGGTAGTACTGTATCCTTTTAGCTGTACCGTGTGTTGCATCTTCTGCACTCAGATGAAGACGATGAACACGTACCGAGAGGGAAAGAGAGAGAGGTGGAGGGAAGAGAGAAAGAGAATAAGGAGGGAAAGAGACGGGAGAATCGCGAGAAGACGCAGAAAATACGAGAGAGAGAGAGAGAGAGAGAGAGAGAGAGCCGTGCTCGCGAACGAGCGGCCCGCAGGAAAATTGACCCGACGCTCTTCCTCCGGCCGTAAGGATAAATTTCTCGCGTGCACTTTGCGCGCGCGGCGTGAAAAATTGATCCTCACATCGGCGTCTCCCACCCGAGAGAGAGAGCGTAAGAATCAATTTTTCGCGCGAGGTGCACGCGAAAATCGCCCATGAGGGTCAATTTCCCACGCCATCGCTCTCTTCTCTCTCTCTCTCTCTACCCGCGCGTTCCTCCAACGCGCGACGCGGTAGGTTCTCTCTCACCTTGCCGCTGCGGGCCGCCGGCGAGTTCTCGACGATGTCATAGATGACGTGGTGGCCGCGCAGGCCGCCAGCCGCGTTGCTGCCGAGCAGCGAGAAGCCGAACCCGGCGCCGCCGCCGGTGTCGCCGCGGTTCAGGGTGACCAGCAGCTCCTCCTCAGCCATGGCGAGCGGGCACAGGCAGGCAGGCAGGCGAGCAGGCACGGTCACATCGATCCTCACCTCCTGCTCGCTGTCATTTGTCTCCCCGACAAAGCGCGTCACGCGCTTCTCCGGACGCCACGCTCTTCTCTCGCCGCACTCACTCTCTTTCTCTCTCCCTCTCAATCTCTGTCACACAGTCGCACTCGCGCTCGCGCAAAAGCGAAAGGAAAGGACCAGAGGGAGAGAGCCAAACGCACCGCCGTGTTCGTTGCGCGCGGCTTAGGTGCGTATGGCCCTGGCTGGCGCGCTGTCAGTCGGCGGCGTATCTATCCCACAGGCACGCACACCCACGCGCGAACGGGAGGCGCCCTTCCCTCCCTCCCGCCAGCCGCACTGCGAAACGATCGGCCGCGTTCGCTCTCTTTCCCTCCCTCTGACGCCGTCGGGACCCAACGCGCTCCTTTTCGCTCGCTCTCTCTCCTCGCCCCTTCGCTGTCATTCACCGTGTCGCGGCGAAAAAGAGGAGAGAGAGAGAGAGAGAGAGGGAGAGAGACGCGGCAACGCTGCTCGACAGATACCGTATCACACACGCCACACCTTCGGGCGGGCGAGAACAGAGACTCGGAGAGGCTGACGAAGGATCGAGCGAAGGAGAAGCGAGATCACTCTCTTTCTCTCTCTTTGTATGTGTGTAACATACGGACACGCACACACGAGTCTTACGAATCGCGTGACGCGACGCGTCGCGCACACGTGCGATGGAAGACACCTCCTGCCTGGCCGGCGGACGCCCTGCGACTAATCCAGGGCCGACAAACTCGAATAGCCTTCGGGAATTTCGAGTTGCCTTTCCCCCGCTCAAATGGGCGGCGCTGGCGTCGATGGGGAGCGAAGTTCACGCTCGTGAGAATTGATGAATTCTATGCCTCACAGCGGCAATTTCCGTCGGTGATTTCGGCTGGTTTCGGTTATTCGCCGTTGGTAATTACGAAATGCGATCCACTTGACGTTTTGAAGCGTTCTGATGACGTATTTTTATATTCGTTTCCATGAACGCGGTTTAGGGGTGGTATTCATAGTCAAATGTTATATCGAGGATTGTTTGAAGTTCATCTTCAAATACACTATGGATCATTTCATTGGCTATAAAACAGAAGATGAACTTAAGCCGATTTTAAAAATATGATCTGACTAAAGATGGACAAAATCGATGTTTGAGAAACAATAGTTGCGTTCAGAAGACACATCAGTAGCACAACGAAGATGCATCGTATGAGTTTGTCGGATGTGCCGATTGGCATAGAGAATTTCTAGAGTCCCTAACATTTTCCCTAAATGTAATACTGTCCTCGATGAGCGAACATCGATGTTTTTCAAACATCGATGATTTTGTTCATTCTTAGATCGTACTTATTTTATCTGTCTCGCCATCCTTAAATCCTTTAATCGCCGCCTGAATACGCCTTCTGCATATGCTTAAGAACTAGCAGTTATCAGACAATAAGGGACACACGTCCCTTATTTTAAATATTTCAAAGCGTTTGCTATTTCAAATAGATCATAACCTCGAGGTACGTTCCATTTAAACGCTCGTAACATTTGCAAACGGAGACTGTGTCCAGATGTCCAATCGCATTGATCTGTTTGGAAAATTGACCAATATGATTGGACATTTGACTTATGTTCGCGATTTTTAAGTGGAACGTATCCTGAAAGGTCGATTGTGTATATCTAAATGTATTGAGAATTTTAAAAGTGAGCTAATCTACTTAAATGTGATCAATGAAATTATAAATATACTAATAAATTCGCTCACTTTTGTCATTCTCACTACGTTTTGAGATATACGATTGATCCTCAGGGCTGCGTTCCAAAAGCCTACTCGACGAGTAGAGTAGCTTTTAATTAACCAATCATGATATAGAAATATTTGCTCTTTTTTTCGATTGACCAATTAAAAGCTATCGTATCCATCGATCGTGTCCGAACGCAACCCAAAAGAATTAACCAATCAGGAACCAACCAATAAGCATTGAACGCTGATGTCCGTTGATCAGCCATAACAGCATATTGGTACAGCATATGAGCGACAGCTGTCGAACTGCATAGGATTTCAAGAGGGAAACTCGAGTTGACAACTTTGTAATAATATTATGGTGAAATTATTGATAATTATTTTAAATCATAACAATTATTACGCGTGAGTGATAAAAATGTCAATAGAAATCGTGCCGAAAGATCTGCGTGGACTAAGAGCATGTTTAGTGTGTTCTTTAATTAAGGTATGTATTTCATAAATTTATGTTACCCATATAACCAACAAAGTTTTAGTTAATCACGTTATCCTTAGGATTTGTTTAGTCTCACAAAGTAATTGTACTCATAATTTTACTTCACAGACATTTGACCAGTTTGAATTCGATGGTTGTGAAAACTGTGATGAATTTCTACGAATGAAGAACAATAAAGACAATGTTTTTGATTGTACAAGCTCTAATTTTGACGGGTAAAGTGCAATAATAGATATACAATTACTTAAAAATCGATTCTGAAGTAAAAAGATGTATGTAAAAAGATGATATCAGCAATACTGAATAAGTTGTTATATTCTGTTATTTATGTCAGTCAAATATGAAAACCGTTGGAAGTTTCCGTTTTCTCTAAGTTTCTATTCAAAGAGATAAGGATTTTACTACTGATTCACTTGTTTTATCTGATTTACTTATGTATTCTATTATTTTATAGAATGATTGCTGTAATGAGTCCAGAAGATAGCTGGGTTTGCAAGTGGCAAAGAATAAGTAAGTATTATGTGTACAACATTACATTTTATCATGCAATTGTTAAGAGTACAATTGTATTTCTTCATTTTACATTTGAGGAAAGATAACAGAAAATGCTGTCATAATTCTTTTTCTTGTTTCTTAATTTATTATTATATTTATATCAACCTTTTTTATGAGTGGATACTGTTATACTATTCTTATATACCATTTGGTAATCATTTTTATAACATATTAGCGCAATTTATTTTCTGAACACTGGATCCAGTATATATATATATATATATATTTTTTTTTTCAGCTAATATTATATAATAAAACTTCTGTTTTTCTCAGATCGCTTTTGCAAAGGTGTCTACGCCATATCAGTGTCGGGACGATTACCAGCTGGTGTCATCAGAGAGCTGAAAAGTAGAGGGATAGCCTATAGGCCGCGCGACACGAGTCAACGATAATACGAATTTATACACGAACGTATAAATAAATATTAATTATAAATAATAGGATTCAATTATTAATTATAAATAATGGAACTTTTTATATAGATAGTTACAAACAATGAAGTAATTCATTTTTACACATTACTATTGAGAAACTTAAAAATCTGTATTGCTTTTTTAATATACATCTGTATACGACTTTGATAGATTAGTTGAAATTGCTATCAAAACTTTTCCTCAAAATATTTCCGTAGATCACGTATTTCGTATTTGCGAAAAGATTTTAATTCGAAATATATGTTACTCTGTGTGTTAAAGTTCGAAAATTTTGAAGAAACATAACGATCACGGTACTAAATGATTTACACAATCATTGTTCGTAGAGTTGTGGGTGAGAGCCTATGCACGGAACTTTGAATGCATTATAATTTAATTCCAATTTAGTGGTCAAACGATATTTACAAATTTAGTGAAATATAGTATTCAAACGCTTCAATCCCTTGTTGGACTCTCCTAAGTGAAATTAAACGAATAAAGTCATAATAAGTCATACGCCATTCCTACCTGTTGTTCACATAAGCGGTCTTTCTCGCTCGAATTGATAGTCATGGTTGTGATCTTTAAATAGTTACAAACACGAATTATAACTGATATTATTATACCCGGATAGCCACCTTCTTGATAGTCGCGTGATTTTCTCGCTCATCTGCTTTGTATGGATTATTATCATTTTATTTGTTTAATTTTATTAAGGAGAATCCAACGAGGAACCAGAACGTTTGAATATTACATTGCATTAATTTTATAAAAATTTTGTTGTTGAACTACTAGATTGGAATTAAATAATATTTCGCTAAAAATTCCGTGCATAGGCTCGAAAATGTTGTATTATATACGGACTAAAATTAAATATCACTCGCTGAACATATATGTGTATTTAATTGAGAATAAAATAAAGAATATCTCATTATCTAAAATTAATTTCTTGCACAACGAAGCTATAAATTTTCGCAGTCGGAAACGGATATGCAAAATGAATGTAACTACGCGGAAAACGGTCGCAGCATGACAAAGCGATGTCCAGGGCAATTACGAATTACAGGCATGCGACACGAGGACAGTTTGCAGACAAAAACTGTAGTCCTGTAAAAATGAACGAATTAAAAAGAATCGCTAGGAAGTCAAGCGGAAACGTTAAATTTGTAGTCTTCGAGATTAAAGCGTTCCGGAAGGTCTAAAGAAAAATCAATTGATTAATTCGACACGTCGAAATTTCAGCTGAAGTACTGATCTTCCTTCTAACTTCCAGTCGTTTTATTAATCATAATCTCAAAAGTTCGCGCAGTCAAAATAATTAATAGATAAGAATAGAAAAAAAAAACTTTTCAAAATTTTATAAACAATATTCTTAAACCTGGAAAAAAATTTGGTTGAATTTACCTGACATTGGACAAACCAGAAGCGTTTGGATGAAAAAAATAAAATTGCTGATCCTTATAACCTAAATTCTTATAACCAGAAAAATTCTGTTTTCTCCAATTAAAACATGTTTGTTCATCTCGTCGGGTAAATTTAACCAAACTTTCTCTTCCGTGTACAAAAATTACATATTCGAGTATACAAAATAAATGAATAGAAACATGCTTTTTCGGGAATTGAAAAATGAATTGATAAAAGATGAAAGATCTTCTTTTCATTCAGCTATTTTTACAGGGCGACTCGCGTCAGAGAGTGAAAGAAATAGGTACGGTAGGTGAGACGTTCGTGTGATTTGGAAAGTACAGAGTACTCGCAGAGATGTATAGCATGTATAGTATGTATACAGTATACATATATATATGTATGTACATATATACATATATATATATATATATATATATATATATATATATATATATATATATAGACACACGACAGGGTGACATTAATTCTTCAGAATATATTTACAAGAGCAGTACAAAGAGTAACTCGATATTACACATATATATTCGTTACATAGACTAACAAGTAGTAGGTATAAGCAGGTGAACAGTTTAAATATTAATTGAGGCACGAGATAATAAGGCATTTCTACAGAGGATAGACATACGATCGTACGCACGTAAGATAGAGCGCGCTCCCTCTCCGAGAGGATCACGAAAGAGAAAACAAGAGGATAAGGAGAGAGACGTCCCGGCGATATTACGCGATATTCGCGCGACGCACTCGAACGATACACACCTCGCTCACCTGCGGATGACATCATCATCATCATCATCTTCGCAAGTCGCGGCACAAAATTGCACAGAAACTGAAAATCCAACTCAAGCAGGTCGAGAGACGAACGCCGCTTTCACCTTTCACTTCTTAAGCGTTCACCTCATAAATGTCTAACTTAATTTAATGTGTATTGCCGAAGAGAGAGAGAGAGAGAGAGAGAGACTCTTGTCGCGCCAAGTGCTATTGTGCAAGCCGAGAGGCCGGGTGTTGTCGAGTACGTCGAACTACATTAATTCAACATCACTATCTCTTCTTCTCTTTGTGCGAATTACTGGCGCTGGCTGTAATATTTTTTTTCTTAGCAGGTAGGGATCCGGACGATACAACACGACGCCAAGGGGAGACAATCGTGTCCCTTCGTCTAAAAGAAGGTCGCAGAAAATCCTGTTGGACCTCTGGGATGTCTTTTGTCTCGCGTTACTCGAGGGCGAGCGGAATATTACTCGCAACATTATGCAAAATACACGAGTAACCGAGAACCGTCGAACGTTTTCTTTTTTCTCACTAACAGCACAAAATGCTCTTGCAAATAAACGCTTCTCTCTCTCTCTCTCTCTCGTTCTCTAGCGTTCTATTCATTTTCGGACACACTCCCGGGGAAAATTCGCGCATCTAAGCACCCGCAATACTAAGATATCAACGAGATATGTCTATAATCGCAGCTGTCGGTTCTCCGGATCCCTCCCTCCTTCGTTCGACGGGACTTTATTAACACAATTCTGCAATTGTCTATCTTACGTGTTTACAATCGTTGCAAAAATTACATTAGTGGACGTCACAATGAAGATTGGTATTCAGTGCGGAACCAGTTGTGCTACACTGAATAACATACCGACTTTTTTTTATCTTAGAGAGTGTGTGTGTGTGTGTGTGTGTGTGTGTGTGCACAGCGTGGTCGAGATCCCTAAAGTTTAGAACACGTAGCTAAAAACGATCTGACCGATCCAGAGAAGAGAGGATGAGTCAAAGAACGAAGGACACACAGTATGTACAATGCGGAAGTCATTAACATAGATCGATAACCGAGATTAACTCCGTCGCGGAGCGCGACACAACAGAAGAGGCAATTCTTTTCGCGCGCGATTCGCCGCGTCTTCTCGTCGCGGCGAGACGAGAGAGCGATAATAACGTGACACGCGACCGGCTCCGTGACATTTTTCACCAAGTAGAGCACACACTCTTCACATTGTCGCGCGAATTTAAGTACAGAAGAGACATACGATCTTTCTCCACGTCGAGGTCGAATTCTTTTACAATTATCACTGATTCGCGCGATCATCGGAAGAAACGATAACGCCGAGAATTCGAGGCGAAAGGAAGAGAAAAGAATAGAAGAAACCCGATTGAACGCTGAAACATCCCGGGAAAAAATGATTATATATATATAATTATATATAATTACATGAAATTATATTTAATTATATATATATATACATAAATTATATATGAATTTTGCCCATATATAGTCACATATATAATCATATATGTTCATATGAAAAAAATGATGTTATGTCATTCGACTAAACGTCAACATCATGTGCTGCCAGCACTTATTCCGATCATATTTGTATATAATTTGTATACAACAACATTTTTTCATTGTGGACACCTATCAATATTCATACATAGAGAAAAATGTTTCTCTGAATTTGATACACGTGTTTGTTCGATTTGAATTTGTTTAAACGACTTAAATTAATATCAAATATCATTTTGTTCAAATGAAAAGGCTGTTATTTCGCTAAAGTAAACCATATTGTTTGACAAAAATACAGTATTATTAAAAAAAAACATTTCGTTTTCAATGANGTTATTTCGCTAAAGTAAACCATATTGTTTGACAAAAATACAGTATTATTAAAAAAAAACATTTCGTTTTCAATGAAAAAAAAATGATTTCATTATGTATCAAATATTGTTCAACTGAAACAAAAACTTCTTTTTGTTTTTCAATATTTTCAATATTTTTCTAATAGTGTTACTTTCTTCGAATAATTTATTGTTTATAGCAATAATCGTAATTTCGAAAAAATACAAAAGATACGTATTATTTGATGTACGAATGCTTATTGTTTGAGAAACTAAACAATCCTGTTTATTAAACTTTCAATTTCGCTATATTCCAAAAAAAAAACAAAATTGTTTCAATTAAAGAAATTTTACTAAATCCAAAACAATCTTTTTCTCTGTGGTCATATATGGAGACAAATTTCCCGGTAAGCAAGAAACATTAAATCAATCTTTTGAAACATTTTATCTGAATTTTATAAACATTTTAGCATAATATTTTATAAATATTTTAAAACTGTTACTTGATTTATATAATATTCCGAAATGCAAAAATTATTGCGTAGAAATACTATTTTTAATGTTTGGGTCAAGTATTGTTCACAATGACGTTGTACACAACATTAAAAACTACGTATTTGAAAATGTTACACGTTATAAAATATCATTAAATAATGTTGTGTTAACGGTTTCTTGCTTATCGGGTTTATATATTTTCTTTTCCCGGGGCTCGGGACTCGAAGAAACACCGAGGTGCAATCAAGTAATTATTAATCGGTAATTATTTCCACCATAGATCAATCGCGCGCACGCGTTCGTTCACAGGAACATGGTGTGTCGACGTTCCGCGGCTCGTGACTCTCGCGCGTTCAAAGTCGCAAAGTCGCTCGCAACGAATTTGGTCTCTTGCGAGCGCGCGTCCGCGTATGCACAAGCAGGTGACTTCTCTCTCTAAGATACAATTGTCACGTTCGTTCAGCTGAACGATTCGGACATCACCTCCGAGGTCGCATCTCTTCGCGTGCCTTCCGACCCGGAATTCACTTGAAATGAGGCGCCGCGTGTACAAAAATATCGCAGTTCACAGAGACTTACAACGAATGTATGTTAAAAAAATATCGCATTCTTCGGAGACTGCGCAAACATGTGCGAGCGAACGAACGAACACGAACAAACACATTCTCAAACGCACGTGTTCCTTCTCCGGATAAACACACACACAATCGTTCCGATCCGAGAACAACGACTGCACAAACCGTCAGGCGGGAGAACGTAACGACGGGAGATTGATTTCTCGCATGAAACGACGTGTCGTTATAGTCTTACATGTTTCCTTCCGCTTTCCCTCTTTTGTTGATATATATATATAAATTAAATTAGCGCTATCGCGAGATAGCCTGGACACACTCGGGGCGTACAGTGCTAGTCGTCATCACACGTAGTATTGACTATTGATTTTACAATTGTTACTTCTCGTGTTAAATATTTGTGTCCCTTTTTTTCTTTCCTCCCCTTCGGATATTACTTATAGGAAATCATGTTCCGCTACACAATCTTCCGAGTGCAATGAAATCACTTGGATAAGGGGCTAATCGTAATGTGTAATGTATATGTGTGTATGTGTGTGTGTGTATGTCTGTCTGTCTGTGTGTCACTGAAAGATTTTAGAAAACGCAAGAATAAAAATCGGCGGTTTTAACGACGTTAACAGCGTTGTACAATCAATTGTTTACAGGAGAACACAATTCGGACGATGTTAGACGCGTTGCGAGAGAAGCGACAAGTGACAGGGCGCTCGCGGCGTGTAAGAAACAAGAAGTTTCACAACGACGGACGTCGATCGGAAGTAAAAAAATCGCGCGCGAAATCGGGAGGATCGCACACAAAATTGCATTCAGACGGCATACGGGGGTGCGTTAACACGCGCGAGCAACACAGCAGCGGCATGCGAGAGCCAACCAGCCGACGAGACTTCGCGAAACGATCCTCCGTGGATCTTCGCGGGAAGCGTGTAAAAAAAAAAAAAGAGAAAAAGATCGACAATGGGAGATGAGACGCGGTTACGCACACAAGTATACGAGAACAAGCCCACACACAAGTCGAAAGAGCGCGCGTCGACGAGGCGCGAAGCTACACAGGTGGATGGAATAATACTAAAATAAAATACTGCCAAAATGTAAAAACCAAGTAAAATGTATTCTATGGGCAACATCGTAATAATCATATTATCATTATGCTGATACACTGAAATATAACCACAATGTGTGTACGTGTTTTACAATGTCGTATTGTATATGTATGTATGTATGTGATGTACATAGAGCGTATTATCAAATAATCATTATTTATCGCTAACTCCGACGAAGATGATTATACTGACCGACAATAGGCAATATGGTAGTAATGGTCATACAGATCGGTAGTAATAAATGTATAACAATAAATCGCGGGTATGTCGAGCACCAAAGAAGGTATGTGTACGTACAAACAACAACGTAGAGGAAAGGCTTTTCGTTCCCTTTTTCTTTTGTTTCTCTCCTATATTTTCGGAATTTCCAGGATATAATGTGCATGTGCATACATATATATATATATATATATATGTATCGGTTCCGCGCGCGTTCTTTTCTCGCGGAAAGAGAACCAAGTGTAATCGTGTACTCAAGTGGGTGTATTCGTGTGACGTTGAATGTGCATTAAGAAAGAGAGAGAGAGAGAGAAAGAGAGAGAGAGAGAGAGAGAGAGAGAAAGAGAGAGAGAGAGAAAGAGAGAGAGAGAGAGAGAG